AAGCTGCTTTTACCAGCAAAAAGAAAAAGAAAAAAGCCAATGAAACTCATTTTCATTTTTTATAAATTAATGCAAATCGTTTTTATATAACGTAGAATTATGACACATTATTTAAAACCTTCGGTAGCGGCTTTTGTACAAAAGTCATGAATTTTCTCAATATCATGCTACAGGGTATAGTCATTTTGTACACTTTAAAACGCAATTTAACTAAGGTAAGTCGATAGCAATGTTTTTCTGGGGATGGTTGAAATAGGGTCATACTTGAGTGATTGTTTAGTCTTGTTAACCTAGCACCAGCATGGTTAAAAACATTAGAGGTGTTAAAGGTTATTTATCCCTTGAAGGGCAGTTCTTATGTTTGTAGAATACTCTTGTTTTATGTAGTTTATATTAGCTTTAAAGAATAATAGGCACAAAGCTTTACAATAGACTCTGTCTATGCAGCTGTGTTCATCGCTGCATCTCGAAGTTTAGCGTAAAAAGCTCTCAAGCTTGCTGATGAGCTACATGAAGTGGAGAGGGGTGAGGTGAAGAATATATAGGAACTTTGTAAACTGCGTTTTTATTTTCATGTACGTACGTTTCCGGTAAGTTCAGTTCTGCAACCACAGTTACAATTTACGCGTTATTTTAAGTTGTGTGGAGAGAAGGAAAAAATAAAAATATTATTATGTGAGAATAGCTACTGAATGTTTTCACATATCAGGAAGGAAATTAAAATAAAACCTAAAAATTATTGAAACGATCAATTCGGCTGCATTGATAGGAAACGGATATAATCAACGTATTCGATACTAGTTACAGATCATTAGTGTGTCTTAGAGAAAATCAGTCGATGCAAAAGGGTTATTGTAAATTATTGTTGCAGGATTATTTCATTCACGTACAAAATACAGCGCATCATATCTAAAAAGTAAACAATTCCTGTTGGTAAAAACATGGAATTTACTGTTAAACTAGAGCATCAGTATTTTCGAAAGTATTCTATTGCCGTTTTTTTTTATATATTTTGTTTGTTGTTGTTCATAATGTAAACATAATTAAGATTAACTTTTTGAATATTTTTAAACATGATATTATGATTTTTCCATATTTTAATTTGGTGTTATGCTAAATTATAATGTGTATGTTTAGTTAAATTGTGCTGAAGCAAACTCACAACATTTTCACAAAACTGATTAGTTTTCCCATCCTCCTCTATAATGTCATACAACTCCTCATGATTTCGGAACATTAATCAATACGATTATTGTATTTAAATGAGGAATTTCAGTGTGAGGTTTGCTGTACAGTTTGAAACTGCCTATAATATCAGGATGTGATTTGATGTTTGTTCATACATTATTTGTAACATTGAATCTTCAACTGTCATTGTTTCTGAATTACAAAACCATTGATATGTATATACAGCATTAGTTCTGTGATTAAACCTCAAATTACAAGAACAACTTGCATATGTTAATACTTTGACATGATGCTGGAGCTGTGACCTATGTCACCACAAGAAACATGCTTAGCACTTATATATTTGGTTCATGTCAGATTCCCAGCCAGTCACTGTAATGCTGATATGGGATACTTATGGCTGGAAGTTTATGTCACAACTTTTTCCAATGAAGGTATTTGCATAACAACATTGTTAAATGATATAGAGCCAAATAACTCAATGTTTTGAAGAAGGAACTTCAGTGTTCTTCATCAAAGAGGAAACTCTCGTAACAGGGTTCAAAATCAGATATCAAGCCAACTCCAAATAATGCCCTCACCTGCAAAATAAAGGTTTTGGGTATAAAAGAGAGCCTTACAACCCAAAAACATTTCAGTAAAGCAGAGCATGTCTTTGATGTGTTAACTAGTCAATAAATGAGGACTTAAAATTGACAGATATGTACATATTCAACCACATCCTGAAACTGATGTCTGGTTTCATGAGAAAGATGGCTGGAATCCTACTCAACAATCTACATGTCAAGTCTCCCAATGCAGCTACAGTAGACTGGTTGTGCCTTTATTGTGAATGACATACAAGTACATTGGAAAATTTGTAAGAGGTATGGTTCTGATATGTCCCTTTGTATATTTTTGGAAGTTTGTTACAATGAAAATTGTGGAACTTGGCAATAGTTGCATAATTATGGACTGAGCATGTTCAGTCATGGAGGAAGTTATTCCAAGTACAGTACAGATCTTATAAAGTGAAATTAGCCATCATTAGCTCTCATAAGGATGTTAATGTTTTATGTGGTTCATTCTAATATGGGGGTAAAATGTATATAAAGTAAAAAAAAAAAATTAAGAATATAAATATTTTTGGTTAATGGTTGTAAAATCAAACACCTGTATTTATTTTTGATTTGATGTAATCTTCAACTGGCACTAAATAATACAACATTGAGAAACTTGTTTCAGTGATTTGTCATTTCTAATAAATTGATTCCATCAGTCTGAGTGATTTATTTGTGGGAGTTGAATTTCATAGAAAAGAAAAAAAAGGACGTTATTATACTTGAAAATAGCATGAGAAGAACTGAATGATATCAATAGTAAGACTATGAAACTGGCTCCATAATTATTATAACACAGAAATACATTTAATTCAAGTAAGTTTAATAAGTAACTTAGTGTCCTTTTTAATTGACTTACGTGAATGTATAGATGATTGAGGAGAACTCCCTTATTTCTGATTTTTGTGTGTGAAGATATTTAGGTTTATATTTTTGAACATTAAGACTGAAACTTTGTTAGTTTTTAGGTTATTTTCTAATTTTGTGAACTTTCAGATCAATATTTATATGTGAATAAAGTATAAAACTTTAAAGTTTAAATATGGAAGTTGCATGTTGGCTGCATTAGATGTTAACATGTTTTGTCAGTGAGAGACATATAAGTACACATGCTATTGTTATCAAAGTGAGCAGCATACTTAAGGGATAAATGTACATGCCAAAACATATAAATCCGTGTTTATAAAAAAAAGTTTCGCAATATAAATTGTATTGCATTTAGATATTATCATACCTTTTGAATAAACTGAGAGAAACAAATGTAACAATGATGCCTTCCTAACTGTATGCAAAGTGGAACTTGGATATTTCACTGGTTAGTCTTTTATAATACTATTTTCAGGTGATTTCTAAAATGAACGTATCAACTGATTAACTACAGTACAAATATTATCAAATGAATGATCATATATTTGTTTAAAATATGATTGAATTGTGAAGCGGAATTGAAGCCCAAATAATACACACACACACACACACACACACACACATATATATATATATATATATATATACATAATAGATACGTAGGTTTGGGTCTATTAGTATTATTAGTACTAAAAAAAGTT